TCGATGAATACTGTGAGCCACGAACACAGGTCATCTACGAACGCTATCGATTTAATAATCGTAACCAAGAACCTGGAGAAAGCATCGCATCATACCTTACAGAATTAAGGACAATTGCAAAAAACTGCCAACATGAAAGTATCACTCCAGATGAGATCTTACGTGACAGAATTGTGCTGGGAATTCGAGATGACAAAATGCGTGAGAGACTACTCCGATTAAACGATTTAACGTTGCAAAAAGCTGTCGATTTAATTAAAGCAGAAACAGACTGAACAACAAGTCCAACTTATGAGTGGAAACCCCGGTGGAACCGCGAAAGTAAATGCGTTAAAACAGGGCAGTGGTAAAAACAGTAATAGATTTAAGAAGACTCATCAAAAACGGGAAGTATCGCGTGATCTCTGTGGCAGAGTTGGACCAAAACACGCAAAGAAAAATTGTCCGGCATTTGGACAGAAATGTCGTAGATGTGGAAATCTTAACCACTATCAATCCCTTTGCTGCACCAAGCTCGTTGCTACCGTAGGTGAAGAAGCTTCAGAAGAAGATGAGTCATACGAAATCTGCACTGTTGATGAAGATTCCCGTCCTAGTGTCAACAAAGCATTCGTTGACATATTTGTCAGCACTAAAAAGCCCGGAAATCAAGTACGATTTCAAGGGGATACAGGGTCAGAATGTAACTTGCTGCCAATTATATTGTACAAGTCCCTGACCGGAGACACGAAGCTCAGTATGTTACGAAAGTGCAATAAATCGATCGTTTCCTACACTGGCGAACGACGGCAGATAGCAGGAAAGATAAATCTTCGAGTCTGGCACAAACGTAGTACACAAACGTTGACGTTTAATGTTATCGATGGCGAGTATCAGCCCATCTTATCACTCAACACAAGTATCGCGCTTGGGATAGTCACGTTACACGACTGTGACGTTCTTTCACTCACGATATCATCACGTAGTAACGCGATCCTTGAAGAATTCAAACATGTTTTTGAGCGACTAGGAGAACTACCCGGAGAGTACAAATTCATCACTGGTGAAACTGTATAACCAAAGGTACACCCCCCCAAGACGAGTGCCGATTGCACTCCGCCCTAAAATCAAAGAAAAACTTGATGAGTTCGTACAGCGAATGGGTCTCAAGAATACTTGCTGTAATAAAGCCGAACAAGATAGGAATCTGTTTGGACCCAAGGGATCTCAATGAAGCTATAAAGCGAGAGCATTACCAGACGTCGACAATCGAAGAGGTCGCCACTCGTCTGAACAGAGTAAAGCTCTTCACAGTAGTTGATGCAAAAGATGGTTTTTGGCAAAAGAGGCTAGATCTTGAGTCCAGCTACAAGACCACGTTTAACACACATTTCGGGCGCAACCGATGGCTACGCATGCCCTTCGGCATCAGTTCAGCCCCAGAAGTATGGCAAAGAACCATGCATGAATTCATAGAGGGTCTTCAAGGCGTAGAAGTCATTGCAGACGACTTCATTATTGCTGGCTTCGGTGATACTAACGAAGAAGCGCACAAGAGCCTGGAGCAAAACGAACGTTCCTTCTTTACTAGATGTAGGGAATGGAATTTGAAGCTCAATCGCGATAAAGTAAAGCGAGCACAGACCGATGTGCGCTTTATGGGACATCAGCTGACACCTGAGGGACTCAAACCTGATCCCGCAAAGGTACAAGCTATCACTGCTATGCCTGAAACAGATGATGTCACTGCACTCAAACGTTTCCTTGGAATGGTTAACTATTTGTAAACATTTATGCCACACCTGAGCGAAATGACAGAACCACTACGCAGACTAGAAGATCAGGACGCTGAGTGGCAGTGGCTAAAGCAACACAGCATTGCCTTCAACACAGTTAAGAAGTACCTCACTGAATCCCCAGTTCTCAAGTACTGTAATGTTAACGAAGAAGTAACAATCCAGTGTGACGCCTCTGAAACTGGTCTCGGAGCTGTCCTTATGCAAAATGGCCAACCGATTTGCTACGCCTCAAGAGCTCTCACCGACACTGAGACAAGATACGCACAGATAGAGAAAGAGCTTCTTCCCATCGTATGGTCTTGTCACAAATTTTACCTGTACATATATGGTCGTGACGTCGTACACGTAGATTCCGACCATGAGCCACTGCAGGCAGTATTCAAGAAGCCAATACATCAATGACCAAAGCTCTTACAGAGAATGAGAATGGCACTGCAGAATTATTCGCTGGACATTAGATACAAGAAAGGCCGTCTAATGTTTATTGCAGATGCCGTGAGTCGCTCCTATAGGCTTACGACCGACGATGCTCAACATGATAGCAGCGAAGTGTGTGCATTATGAGAAGTGCATCGCACAGATGGACTTTCAGTATCACCCAAACGGTTGAAAGAGTTCAAACTGCGCACAGCCCAGGACCCAGAAATGCAGCTTTTAACAAGTCAAATACAAACAGGGTGGCCATCAAGCCGTAAAGAATGCCCTAGTCCGCTAATACCATACCACGAAAGCCGAAGCGAGCTAATTGAAGAAAACGGGCTGGTCTTTCGTGGTGAGTGCTTAGTCGTTCCACCCTCGCTGCGCACCGATATGCTGAAAGAAATACACCGCTCACTTATCGGAATGAACGGATGCTTAAGAAGAGCCAAGGAGCTGCTGTTCTGGCCAAGAAACAACGCTGAAGTAAACGATTTCGTTTCCAAATGCAGCATTTGTCAATCATTTCAGCCAGAACAGTGTAGAGAAAGCCTCCAGCCGCACGAAATGCCAAGCCGTCCGTGGTCGAAAGTAGGAGCTGACCTATTCGAACTTGGTCAACAAAACTTCTTAATACTGGTCGACTACTGGTCCGGTTATTTCGAAGTACAAGAACTCAAACGGATCACCTCCACAACTGTCATCACCGCTTGCAAAGTGCAGTTTGCAAGACATGGAATTCCTGATGTCCTGATTACAGACAACGGGACACAATTTAGCTCATCAGAATTCGCGAAATTCGCCGAGGCGTGGAAATTTCAACACAAGACTTCCAAGTCCGCACCATCCCTAGTCAAACGAAAAGGCAGAGAACGCCGTTAAAATCTGCAAAAATGTGTTAAAGAAAGCCCGAGCAGACAACAGAGATCCACTTCTAGGTTTCTTGGACTGGAGAAACACGCCCACAGAGGGTCTAGGAACCTGGCCTGTCCAGCGTCTTATGGGTAGAAGAACAAGAACACTCCTGCCAACACATACCAAATTTCTGAAGCCACACTTAGACTCCGAAACAGAGCAAAGTTGGCGCAGCGCAAACAGAAACAAGAATTGCAGTACAACGAGAAAATTCAACCGCTGCCTCCGATCCAGCCCAGCCAATGAAACTCCCTGGTGACACAAAATGGTCTCTTGGCAGCTGCGTCAAGGCAATACCTAACCGCTCTTACTAAGTGGAAGTCGCAGGTCGCCGTTATCGTCGCAACAGGCGCCAACTAAGAACAACGGCCGAAGCACCTTCACACACTACACTTGAAGATCTTCCGAACAATGACGCCGATGTAACACCTCCCTTTAACAGCCAAGAAACAACAAAGCCCACTCGTTGTCGAGATGACACCTCAGGTGTGACTCCCGAACCAGTCACTCAACCACGTCGTTCAGCCCGCGTAAGGAAACCGCCAGCTTGGCACGACAATTACCTGATGAACTGTTAAGAAAAAGGAGATGTCACGATATTCGATCTATGACATTTTAATATCGGACTTGACAGTAAATCAACATAGGGACTCGCGTGATGTAATCTAATAATAGTAGTTGAATCATCGCCTTAGTTTACAATCGGCTGTTGCGTGATTAGAACAATAATTCATTGATTCTCTTGTAATGTTCGAAGAGTCATTATTAAAACTGGAGTTGACTAGTTGACGCGTCTCTCTCTCTCTTTATGTCGCTAATTCGAACGAAATAAAACGTTACCACTTACAAGTGTAGTCGAATTCTCAATGAACATCCCTTATTAGGAGAAAAAACAAAGGATACCTCGATTTACGGGGATAAAAAAATGCAAAGGACTTCAAAACTAGCTTAAAAACAGTGGATTTATACCTGCCGAAGCTTGTGGATTGCACAACGACGTGAGTCTACGTTTTGTGGCGTCGTCGACTACTCTACAACGACGAAATTTACTGGCCGCGCTTGCGCAGTGCACTGCATTTCACTTCCAGTCGTGGACGATGGTAATTCAATGGCACTCCGTTGGCAGTTCAGTACATTAAACGAGTTTACGAGTTACGTGAAAGACAGTGCAAATGTTTGCTTATGGTGGAGACACACTAGCCTGGGAACTGTAATCCTTAACTGTCGCTTCAGTCTATCTGCCGTGGTTTGGAAGGCACATAACACCTTGGCCCTATGGATTCCCTAAGCCTAAATCTCGTTCAGTTGCACAGCGAAGCCCACAAAGTTGACACTGTCGATGCCTTCTGCGCAGCAATACAAGAAGAGTACAAAGATTCTTTTTTGGTGACCTTGGTAACCTTCTTGTGGTTTACAAGATGAGGCTTAATCCTGACCTTACCTGTGTTTTTAGTCCTCCGCGTAAGGTACCCCAAGTTAAGGAAAAGAGTGTCAAAAGAAACTTGACAAGATGGCCAAAATCGCTGTGATCACACCTGTAAAGGAGCCTACGCAGTGGGTATCACAAATGCTCGCTGCAAAGAAAGATGGATAGATTCACATCTGCGTTGATCCAAAAGACCTCACCAAGGCGCTCAAAGGACTCCACTATCCGATGACGACAGTTGAAGATGGCGCCTCACGCATTACCAGTGCCACAGTGTTCTCTACGTTTCATTCAATAAATCAAATAAGACTATGAGTACTCACTACTCATAACTTTCAGCTCCCTGTTTAAAAGGTGCAGTTTTCTCCGAACCCTTTTGGAATGACCTTCGCTTTTGGGGTCTATCATTGTGCGATGAAAGAGCTGTTTGCTGGGTAGTCCTGTGCAATCATCGTGGATAACCTGTTGGTATAGCGTGAAGGAAGACCAGAGCACGATGCAAATTAAGGAATAATCACGCAGGGAGCACGAGAGATTGGCTTCAAATTGTCTATGAAGAAATGTAGATTCCCCTGCGATTAAGTCCCCGATTTTGGTCATTTGTTCATAAAGACAGGCCTCATGCGGCATGATGAAGCCAAAGTTACTGCAATGAATGATATGCCTGCCCCTCACAGCCCTGAAGCACGTCATCGATTCCTTGATATGATCAATTACCTAAGTTCATCAGCAATCTCAGCGAGAAGACTGCTCCCCTACGTGAACTGCTACAGAGAGACATGCACTGGAGCTGGGAAGCACCTCGTCCAAAAGGGATTAAGCTCCTGAAGTTGGACACGTCAACCCCCCAGTCCTTAAGTTCTATTTTCCTGCGAAGCTTGCCAAACTGTCAGTGGACGCCCCAAAGAGTGGTCTTGGTGCCGCATGCCTGCAGGATGGTTGCCTTGTGGCATATACCTAAAGAGCCCTAACTGAAGCTAAAAATCAATGCGCACAGATCAAGAAGGAACTGCTTGTAGCACTATTTCATGATTTTATGTATGGTAGGGAAGCCATATTGAAACTGATCTCAAACCTCTCACAGCAATCGTAAGCAAGCCTTTTCAAACAGCTCCTGACCATCTTCAACGAAAGCTGTTGCAGCTGTAAAGTTACAATTTGAAGTTCACTTACAGGAAAAGAACCGAACTGCGTATGACAGACACTGTCACGTTCCTACACGAATCAGGAAAATGGTGATGAGGATGAATATCAGTTTGAGATATTGTTCAGCGCAATCTCACTCACACGTATGGCTGAATTCCAAAGGCACAATCTCGTGTTGGTGGTTAATTTTTTTATTTGGGTGGCCAGAAAAGCTCGAGAGCTAACCCCTAGAAGTAAAAACCATATTTTCCTGTAAAGGATGAGCTAATCGTGAATGTTGGTAGTATCCTTCTGAGAGGCCTAAGAGTTGTGGTCCCGTAGTCCCTACGCAAAGAGTTTGTTTAGAAACTGCACAAGGGATATCCTGGAGCAGATGCTGCAAAGAAAAGAGCACGGGATGTGTATTACACGTCTATGACATCCGACATTGACTCTACCATTGTTCTCTGTAAGCTGTGCAATAGTACCAAACCGCACAAGCAGAGAGAACCACTTGTTATTTATCTGGTCCCAGACCTCCCCTGGTTATTTGTGAGTACAGCGATATTAAACTGAAATGGATTGCGGTATCTGATACCTGTCGACTCTTATTCTGGTTTGTTAGCGACAGATACCCTTCGCGATTTGTCTTCCATAACTGTTATTAAGAGGACCAAAATTAGGCATTGTTTTGTTGTCCGTGGTGTTTATTATAAAGTGTTTTCTGCCAGTGGTCCACAATTCGAAGTAGAAAATTTCAAAGTCTCCCTAATGAATGGAGCTTTGAGGATGCCACCAACATTCCATATCATCCACAGTCTAACAGTCTGGCCGAGAATGCTCTCAAACAAGCCAAGAACCTGCATTGGAAGTGTAAGAAGGAAGGTTCTGATCCCTTTCTTGGTCTCCTTAATCTGTTTAATGTTCCGAGAGATCAAACACTAGGTTCTCCTCCCTACTCCTGTCGTTAAGCAGCTCCTCACTCCTAAGGCAGCAAGTAGTAGAATTGCTGCTTCACGTCCTGAGTGAAAGCGCCAACAGCAGAAAGGTTATTATAATCTGCGCGCCGAGTATCGTCCGCTCCACCATCCAAAATGGGTTGTTAGACTTCAAACTGAGAAGAGTCGTGAGAAAGTTGGCATTGTTAAGAAACCAGCTGCTCAGCAGTGACCCTACATCGTGCAAACTGAAGAGAAGAAGTACCGCAGAAACCAGGGACATCTTTTAGCTATTCTAAAGCCTATTCCATCTCAGTATGCTGCTCAAACTTCTCTTCACTTACCAACAGTTCCTCAACATCCTCCTATCGAGTCAAATGCTCACCAGCCTCCTACCATGTCAAATGAGAATGTACTCCCTGAGGCTACGGATCCTGTCAAGACACCTGCCAAGAAACCAGCAGAGCCTTCAGTCTCTCAGAGGTCCCCAACAAGAAATTCTATCGATCCCCAAGCTCAACTAAAGCCTTTCCTTGGAGGAGTTACGCCAGAGGCCGCTTGTTCAAATGTTCTTCCATCCTCTAATGCCCCAAGACCATAAGCCGTCGCTAGATCTGGAAGAATCTCGAGACCTGATCCCAAACATAAGGACTTACCTTCACTTACCGTTGCAAATAAAGGACATATTTAGCATAGTCTTTTAGAACTGCCGACAAAAATACGGCATGGCTGTAGAAGTATTTGTTTCTGGTTTTTGGTGTAAGGATTTAAGTTATTTATTCGTTTTTTTTTTTGCTCCTGTGCACCTTTTGCATGCATTGCCCACGTGATTTCTATGATGTAGAAATAATTGACCTTGTGTTTTTCAGTGGCACTCGGTTTGCAGTTCATACTCTACAATATCCATGATTCAAATCAAGCTCACAATGTTTAGACTTCCGGTAAAAGTATCTCAATACATTACAATACAGAAAGGTATGAAATGCGAACAAGTGGCTCAGTCGCTTTTACTAAAATGAAGTTGATACTGAAGATGAAGTCTGTGCGCAAGTGTACCCAAAGACATCATTTTCTAAAGATACCCGAAAACGACTACTTCAGGAAATTACGCTTGATCTAAAGAGGTGCATTGAAATCCGTAGTAGTCCCGAGGCTGCAAATTCGTAATTGAGAATCTTTTCAGCATCACAGATTGAGGATGTACATGGCGCGAAAGCCAAACAGCAGCTGCAGAAGAAATCTTTTGACAAGTCTAAGAAAAACCGGAAATCAGCAAGAAAGCTGGAGAAAAAGGAAGATGTCCCGAGTGGGGAGCCATATGTGCTAAATGTAAAGGGAGAAGTCACCTCGCCTCAAAATGCGAGAAGGTTAACAATCTAAAAGAAGAATCCGAGGAATCTGAAGATAGCGACATATAATATATCACAAGCATTACAGACGACCGGAAGTGGTGCATGTAATTAAGAAAGTAAAGAAATGGTTGTTCCAAAGAAACCTGTAAGCCAAATCGTCCCATGAGAACCCCAGGTACCACTTCCGGTCCATCTGTAATGCTTGTGATATATTATATGTCGCTATCTTCAGATTCCTCGGATTCTTCTCTTAGATTGTTAACCTTCTCGCATTTTGAGGCGAAGTGATTTCTCCCTTTACATTTAGCACACATGGCTCCCACGCGGGACCTCTGCCTTTTTCTCCAGCTTTCTTACTGATTTCCAGTTTTTCTTAGACTTGTCAAAAGGTCTCTTCTGTCGCTGCTATTTGTCTTTCGCGCCATGTACATCCTCGCTCTGTGATGCTGAAAAAGTTCTCAATTACGAATTTGCAGCCTCAGTACTCCTGCCCATTTCAATGCACCTCTTTAGATCAAGCGTAATTTCCTGAAGTATTCGTTTTGGGTGTCTTTAGAAAATAATGTCGTTCGGTACACTTGCGCAAAGACTTCAACTTCGGTATCACCTTCATTTTAGTACAAGCGACAGAGCCACTTGTTCGCATTACATACCGTTCTGTATTGTAATGTATTGAGATACCTCTACCGGAAGTCTAAACATTGTGAGCTTGATTTGATTCATAGGATATTGTAAAC